ATTCACCCCCATCACTAAAATACGTAATGGGCAGACAGTAATCAAACTATTCTATCTGGATAAATGCATTTTAGTTTTTATGACTCCAATTTCAAGAAATCAAGTGTGATGTGACTTGACACACACACTGGCTTTTATATAGGTTAGATGTATGACTATGAAACCTCTGAAAGATTATTGTGATGCATTTTGAAATTTGTCACCAGAGTATGCCACAATAACAACATAGAACTAGGATACCTTATCTTGAGAACTATATTCAAATAAACACATTAAATGTACAAGCTTAAGAAGAGGATAATACAAGAGTTAGTGACTGTAATTTGAACAGTTAGGTTTATACTCATGAAAACGTTTATTAATATGGCTTTCTGCAGTAAGTACTGATAATCATTTTAATGACTTAACAATAAAAATATTTAAGTATTATCTAGATACTTTTTTTACAAGTTGCATCATATTTAATTATGTTAAGAACAACTGAACACATTTTGAAAAAATGATCTTTATACTCCAGATATATAGAAAAGAACATTTTTATTTTAACCAACATTTCACCTTTGCAGCTTCATCGGGGTTAAATTGGTGCCATTTATTTTGTATTTGGTGTAGTATTTAATGACAAAATTGTAAATAGCACCAATTTAACCCTGATGATGCTGCAAAGGTTAAAATGTTCTTTTCTATATATCTGGAGTATAAAGGTCATTTTTTCTAAACTTTTTATCAATGATGGAACACTTTTTATTCCAATAAATATTGTTTTTGTTAGTCATTAAATTGGGATGACTTCTGATTGGTAGATGCTGATTGAGGTAATTGTTTGTTAGAATTTTAACTGTTTTTATTTTTGTATTTTAGTAGCTATTTACCTATTTATGTTTTTGTTTTTAAATAATACTAATCTGAGTTAACTGTGGTTGTTGATAATTACTGAGGTTTGAATTAATTTTAGTAAATTTTTGGAAGGTTGTGATTAATAAATCCAAAAGAAAACTTTACCTCACTGTTGATGATAAAGAAATGCAGTCTGTTGAAGTGCCTCAAAAGTTGCGAGTTCGATCACTAACTTATGTTGGTGGTGTATCAAGGCAGTTAAAGTTAGATGAAGGTTTGGTAAGTTGCTCCAGCATTTTTTTTATAAATGAAATACTTGATATTTTTAATAAGCATTTATAATAAGGTTTGAGTAGTTTCTTTTAATTGACTTAATAATCATCTTAATGTTTATGTAAAATTAAATTTTATATTGTTTAAGGTATAAGTGCACATGTGTATTTTATTCACTTTCAAAGAATGTTTTTTTTCTTGTATGTTCAGTTAAAATATCTTGAAAAATGTGTTTAAAAGTTGCATTTTTGTTTTGATGTTGTGATATGTTTTAACCCTTTAGATCGAATAGGTAAAAGTGCACATGTCATGAACTTTTTATGGAGTTACATTCAAAATATACTTTATTGATAATGTATCTTGGTAAACTTGGCTTGAAAACATAGATAATAAATTTTGTTATAAGTTTTAATTTTAAAAGGACATATTTAAATCTCAATCTTCACTTTTCTATATCATACTTGTTTGCCCTGAATTGCACATTTTAGATAATATTTCCACCCCTATTTGAGTTTTTGAGTTTTAATTTAAATTACAAACTTATAGATATTGCTAAAATCTAATCTAATCTTATAGCCTCCAATCATGTTGTTTTACTTTGATATAAACCAGAAAATCCAACCCACATGCTACAACCAATCACTACTATCTTTCAAAAATGTTAATAATTCTCTCCAATGTTTGATATTAAAGTATTTATAACCAATAGAAAGAGAAGATTTTGGATTACTGACCTGTGTATAATGCTAGCTCATCCTCACAACAGTTTTTGAATTATTAGGGTGACCTTCACATGCATTGTGTAATTCGATACTTTGTTTTACCATAACTTGAGTTGTTTGCTTGTTTGTTACACATGTTTAGTAGTAAAACTTGTTTGAAAGAGTGAAAAAAAACAAAACAATAACATTAAATAAAAACATATTGTTACGTATCTGCTTGTTTGTTAATTTCCATTACAAATTCTTTCCGAGGAACTTCAGCAATACAAGTCTTTTCTTGATTAAACCAGTTTATTCTTTCTCGATACAAACTTTTAGTACACAGTAATTCCACAGTCAGTACATTTCTCGTCACTTTAAACTTAACAACTTTTATAATACATGCTATAAATCACATCGATTTACAATCTCGATACTTTGCTCTCTACAAGTGCAAAACACACTTTATGGCTCACTAGATCGAAACTAACGGAATCATAAATTGCATGGAACTCAAAGTAACTACTCTTCTCTCTTCATTCATTTATCCCTGCTGGCTTTTTCTGCCAGGTTTATATACTAATGAAGAGGGCATCTCGAACACACTCAGACTTCCCCGATCATTCGAGAAACTCGTCACGCACGCCACCAGCACCAATGTGCCATCAGCGTCACGTGACATCCACTGTCGTAACACTGCCCCTTCCTTAGTATTGTTCATCCCAAACAATAGTCACTTACATTAAACCAATAGATAATTAACAATAACTTAATTAAATGTACAGAATTTATAAACACAAAATTAAAATACAACAAAGTCTCCTAATTTTACAGGACGTTTCTTCTTCCGTACTGGTCTCCATCTCCTTGGCTTCTTTTTCACGTGGGATTCATCTGCTCCATCAGGAAATGTCCATTATCTGTAGCAGTCACATTAGGGGTAGTAACTTCATTAATGGCTTCACTGTTTTCGTTCTCAAAACTGGGTAGAGTTTCTTCTTCAACAGTGGCTTTTTCAGGTGACACGTCTTCAGCAGCATCATTTGTTCCATTGTTCACTTCGTTCTAATTGAAGTGTCCTTGACCGTGATAGAGCCAAAGCCTGTTGGCATGCACTACCTTTGGCTTACCTCGACGACCACATTTTATTTGGAAAGTCACGTCTGAGAGACGATCCGCTATGTCATATGGGCCTTCCCATGGAGAAGACAATTTAGGAGACTTCTCTTTGGTCTTCCTGGGATTATAGAACCACACCTTGTCTCCTGGTACAAAGCTGACTTCAGTAGATCTCTTATCATAACATA